ATAGAGAAACTTTTTGAAAAAATAAGGACAGAAAACTTCCCTGACCTGGTGAAGAAAAATGTCACACAAGTCAGGGAAACACAGAAAGTAACAATAAAGATTCATCCAAAAGACCTACACCAAGATACATCATAATTAAAATGTCAAATGTTAAAATCCAAGAATCTTTTTTTCATATCTTTATTGTTGATAGTATTACAGATATTCCTCACATTTTTTCCCCATTTTCCTCCTCCACCTGTATGCCCTACCCCAGGCATTCACCATCCTATTATCTGTGTCGTTGGGTAATGAATATAAGTTATTTGGTGAATCTCTTCCTGCTCACCCTCCCCACACTCCTCTGAGAATCATCAGTCTGTTTCATGTTTCTACTGGCCCACTTCCCACCCAGAAGTGCAGCAGTTCCTAGCCCACCACACTCCCTACACAAGCGGAGCACCAGGCCCACTCCATCACCTTAACATGTAATTTGCCAAAACCCAGGGACCTGCTGCCCTAATTCAATTCACCCAACCCGGTGCCTCCAAACAACTGGCCCACCTCCTTGAAGTGTTGTTCCTGAACTTACCACCATGACCCAAAGCCACCAAACACATGGACCTGTCACTATGACACACTATTAATATGTCATATAGTGGGCTTCTTTACATTCATCTTATTTGGGACTCTCTGTGCTTCCTAGACTTGTATGTCTATTTCTTTAAACAGTGAGGGACATTTTCTGTCATTATGTTTTTCTTTAAATAGGTTTTAAATTTGTTATTCTGACACTCCAGGATGAGAATGTTGGTATTCTTGAAGTTGTCCCAAAGGCCCCTTACACTATCTTCATATTTTCTGGATTCTTTTTCCTTTTTACTCTTCTGATTGGGTAGTTGTTGTTTTTTGCTTCCTCATATTCTAAATCACTGATTTGATTTTCAGAATCCTCTATTCTACTGTTGATTCCCTGTAAATTATCCTTCATTTCAGTTAGTGTATCCTTCATTTCTTACAGGTACTTTTTCATGTCTTTGATGTTCTCATTGATTTCCTTGAAATTCTCACTATGTTCCTTGACATTCTCACTAAGATCCTTGAAGCTCTCATTAAGTTCCTTGAGCACTCTTATAACCATTGTTTTGAACTCTGTATATAGTAGTTTGCTTCCTTCTATTTTATTTACTTCTTTTCCTGGAGATTTCTTCCCTTCTTTCATTTGTGACATGTTTGTTTCCACATTTTGGCTGTTTCTATGTATTGTGCAGAGCTGCTATGTCTCCTGAAATTGGTAGACTGGTCTTGTGTAGTAGCTGTCCTATAAGACTCAGTGACTCAGCCTCTCTAGTAACCTAATCTGGGAATTCTAGGTACACCCCTGTGAGATCGCTTTGCTGAGCCTTGTTTTCTAATGGTGTCACTGGGTGGAATTGGCCCCCAGGCCAACTAGCTGTGAGGACTAAGTACAACTGCGGTACAAGAGTTGTTTTGCAGGAAACACCCCTATGGAGCAGAACTTGCTTCAGTGGAGCTTTGATGCTCAACAGTCCACCCCTTTGTCACTCATGGATATGGAAGGATTGTAATCTGGTATGGTATGAAGCTCTCCACAAGGTGCACTGACATTGGAGCTTCCCTTAAGTTGAAAAGTCTGCCATAGCCTGTGACCTGCCTAGGGTTACCCAGCACAAGCTACAGAATGATTTGGAGATGGCTATTGCTTGTGTTGGCCCAGGAGGTCCCCAGGAGAGGCCACGCTCTGAACCTTGGCAAGCTGCTGCTTGTGCTAGGCATCAAGCCACTTGTCAAGAGGTATGGGTAAGTCTGATTCCAGCTGCTGTTTATGTGAGAGCTTTAAGGAAAATTTGAAATCTGAGCCAAACATGCCATTCATGTGGAAAAGCCACTGCAAACAACTTGGGTGAGGCATGATCTCAGTGAATCACCAGTTTGGGGCAAGCAGTATGGGCCAAGATGATGGAGACTCAGGTATTGTGCCGGGGGGGGGGACCCCAGGACTTTTTTCTAGGACAAAGCTGCCCCCAAGTTCTTGCCCTGATGCCATAAAAGTAAGTTTCTACTTGTATGTCCCTGGATCATATCAATTTCCAGCACCATCACTGGGGCTCAGAGAGAAGGATCCAAGTAAGTTCATGTGTGTGATCTTTCAGAGGAACTGCCTGGGACTCCAGCAGCTCCATGTCACTCAGCCACAATTCCCACTGGTTTTTACAGCCTGAAGTTATGGGGACTTCTCTTCCAGGCTCTAAAACAATGGGCTGGGGGCCTTTTATGTGGCTGGCACCCATGCTCCACACAGGAGGTTTCTTCAGCCAAGATAACACTCCCAATTAAAAACACACGACATGTGGGTGTCAAACTAGCCCATTCCATTTTTCCTACCCTCTACCAGTCTCAATGTGCTCTCACTTTAACTCTCCAGTTGTAGGACTTCCATTCAGAAAGATATCAGGAGATTCTGAATGATGGTGGTTCTGTATCTTAGTTGTAATTTTGATGTGGTGCAGTACCAGCGTTCACTCCATCTTGGTTCCTGAATTCTTCCAACACAGAAGGAATCTTAAAGACTGTAAGAGAGACAGAAAGTTACCTACCAAGGGAGCTCCCAGGATACTGTGAGCAGATTTCTCTGAAGTAGAAAGACTTCAGCCCAGAGAGAGTGGCATGAAGTATACAGAGGAATGAATACAAGACTACTAAACCCAGAACGGCTATCACTCAAAGTTGAAGATGAAATTAGGAGCTTTTCAGACAAAAAAAAAATGATAAGAAAAAAAGTAAACAACAACACTAAAAGTGTTAATTACCACCAAAACAGCAATGCAAGGTATGCTAAAGTGAGTGTTATAACAAGAAGAAATGGAGAGAGAGGGAGGAACAGAGACATAAAGAATAACAATTGCAACAAATATGTACCTATCAATAATAACCTTAAATGCAAATGTCTTAAATGCTCCAATCTGAAGACATAGGCTAGCTAAATGGAAAAGATGAAAAGGTGCTCAGCAAAATATCAGAAATCTCACATAGAAAAATTTTCATTGACACAATGCCTAAGGCAGGGGTGGAAAAGATGTGGCTCACGGGCAGTATAAGGCTTGTGAAATCATTTGGTCTGGCCCTACCAAGGCAACCGCTGACAGGACTCAAAATTCAATAAATCTAGGAGCATTTTCATAGCAACATAAATTTTTTATTATAAGTGAATTATATTAAGCGAATGAGGTTATATATATCTAAGTGTCCCTTGGCAGAAAAAAGGCTCCCCAAACCTGTCTTAGGGCAAAAGAAACAAAGGAAAAAATATACAAATGGCACTACATCAAAATAAAAGATCTGTACTGCAGCAGATGAGTGGATTAGAAAACGATGGTACATCTACACAATGGAATACTATGCTGCTATAAAAAAGAAGAAATTCCCACCATTCGCAGCAGCATGGATGGAACTGGAGAGTATTATGCTAAGTGAAATAATCCAGGCAGTGAAAAAAAATACCACATGATCTCACTCATCAATTTAAAGGCACAAGACACTGCGGGTTGGTGTAAGGGCATGTGCCACGGGGTAGGGGAAGTCAATCGGGGAAAATGGAGACATATGTACTACTATTTGTAATATTTTAAACAAGAAAATAAAATTTTAAAAAATAAGAAAATTAAGGAAGAAGCAGAACAGAAACAAACGCATAGATACAGAGAATATTTTCAGGGTTGCCAGGTGGGAGGAGGACTGAGAACTTTGGTAAAAATTGGTGAAGGGATTAAGAAGTACAAGTGGTAGTAACAGAATAGTTATAGGAATATGATATACAGGAGAGCAATTACAGTTAATAATATTCTACCAACTATGCAGGCATTTTATTAGATAGGTCTGAGATTCATTGGGATAATTACTTAGTAAGTTATATAAGGTCTATTCACTAGGTGTACTCCTAACAACAATATATAATATTGTATGTCAAGTGTAACTGAAAAATTAAAAAGAATATTTTAAAAAATAACAAAAATTGAAAAGAAAGTCTATATATTAATATTTATATCAAGTCAATCAATATAAATAGGGACTTCCTTCACAAACATGATATATGTTCACCATTCCAATAAATCCATTTGTTTTATAAATTTATTGTGAAAATCTTCACTCAAGTTCATGTAGTTAAACAACAGTATCCTTAAAACCTATGTACCATTCATCTAGATTCAAAATGTGTCAGTCTATGACCAATCATCATGTTTTTATACAGTCACACACTGCCTTGCAATTCTTCTTTAAATATGTTTTTATTGATCTTTAGAGACAGAGGAAAAGAAAAGGAGAGAGAGATGGAAATAACAATGAGAGAAATATTGATCAGCTACCTCATGCACACGCCTACTGAGGATTGAACCCACAACCCAGACGTTGAACCAGTTGTCCTCTTGGTGTATAGGGTGACACTCAACCAACTTAGTCACATGATCCGGGTTGCCTTAAAATTTCTTAAGGGCAAATGCATGCAGTATTCTCAGTCATGTCTTTAGCCAAACACTAATCCATATTAACTCTTATGTTTCTCTTCCTCCTCCACATTGGCCTTCCCATAACCTCCAACCCTGTCTTTACTCTTTATTTTCTCTTCCAGTGTGCTACTCTGATGGTATGAGTCTGCCAGAGAACAGATTCAAAGTCAAGGGTGAATACCCAGCTCAGAGGGAACAGTGATGCTTCCTGCGGTCCTATTTTGCTCTCACCAATGGCTGTGTATGGTGGCTCCATAATGGCTGTGAGGGGGG